TGTACCTTTCTAGGGCAATAATAGAGTAGACAAATCAACATTTGCACCTTCATAGGTACATTCGGCATACAATCAACATTTCAAATTTCAGAAGGGCACATTAGAACAATCAACATTTGCACCTCATAGAGCACATTAGTAGACAATCAACATTTAGTAATTCTTCATAGCACAATTAGGTAGACAATCAACATTTGCACCTTCATAGAGACAACATTAGGTAGACAATCAACATTTGCAATTTTCATAGGGGAAGCATTAGGGTAGACAATCAACATTTGCACCTTTCATAGGGGAACATTAGGTAGACAATCAACATTGCACCTTTTCAGAGGGAACATATAGGTAGACAATCAACACAGTGCAACCTTTCATAAAAGGGCTATTAGGTAGACAATCAACATTTGCACCTTCAGAAAGACATTAGGCAGACAATCAACATTTGCACTTTCGTAGGGTACATTAGGGTAGACAAACCAACATGTGCACCTTTCAGAGGGCACATACTAGAGTAGACAATCAGCATTTGCACCTTTTCATAAAGGCATTAGGGAAGCAATCAACATTTGCACCTCTAAAGGGCTATTAGGTAGCAACAATCAACATTTGCACCTTTTGTAGAGTAACATAGGGTAGACAATCAACATTTGCACCTTTCATAGGGCACATTAGCAATCAACATTTGCACCTTTCATAGAGTCACATTGCAGACAATCAACATTTGCACTTTCATAGGGTACATTAGGAGACAATCAACATTTGCACCTTTCAAAGGGTACATATAGGTAGACAATCAACACTGCACCTTCTAGGGCAAACATTAGGGCAGACAATCAACATTTAAAACTTTCATAGGGCAAGAATAGGCAGACAATCAACATTTGCACCTTCTAGGAAGCATAGGTAGATAATCAACATTGGAACTAGGCATTAGGTAGATAAATCAACATTTGCACTTTCAGAGGCACATTAGAGTAGACAATCAACATGTGCACCTTCATAGGGCACATTAGGCAGACAATCAACATTTACACCTTTCTTCAGAGAAGTAGCATTAGGGCAGACAATCAACATTTGCACCTTTCAGAGGGTACATTAGGTAGATAATCATCAACATTTAAACATCTCAGAGGGTGCACACAGGCAGACAATCAACACAAAAGCATCTTTCATAGGGCACACAGACAATCAACATGCAACTTCTCAGAGGGTACATTAGGCAGACAACAAACTTGCACTTCAATAGGGCATTAGGTAGACAAATCAACATGCACCTTCCCAGAGGATGGACATTAGGAGAAAACAATCAACATTTGCACAACTTTCATAGCATAAGGTAGACAATCAACATTTGCACCTTTCAGAGGGAACATTAGGTAGACAATCAACATTTGCACCTTCATAGGGCATACATTAGGTAGACAATCAACATTTGCACCTCTTGTAGTAAGCAGATAGAGCAGACAATCAACATTTGCACCTTTCATAGGGCACAGGGTAGACATCATTTGCACTTTCAGAGGCATTAGGCAGACAATCAACATTTGCACCTTTCATAGGGATACATTAGGTAGACAATCAACATGTGCAATTTTCAGTAGGGTACATTAGGAGAGACAATCAACATTTGCAAATTTTCAGAGGGCAATACTAGGTAGACAATCAACATTGCATTCTTTCGGGCAGGCACATTAGGGCAGACAATCAACATTTAAAACTCGTAACATTAGGAAGCAGATAACCAACACTCAGGGCACCAGAGGGTAGACAATCAACATACGGTGCACTTTTGTAGACAATCAACACACCAATATTAGAGTTGACAATCATTTGCACTTTTTAGGAGTAGACAATCACATGTGCACCTTTTCATAGCACATTGGTAGCATCAACATTTACATCCAGAGAAAATATAGAAGACAATCATGTGCACCTTCTACAGGGAATTAGGTAGACATCAACATGTGTGCATTAGGTGACAATCAACATGTCTTTCTTATACATTAGGGTAGCAATCAACATGTGCACTTTCTGAGGGCACATTAGGTAGACAATCAACATTTGCACCTTTCAGTAGGAAGTACATTAGTAGACAATCATGTAACCTTTCTTAGAGCATATTAGGTAGACAATCAACATAATTTGTAAGTAATAGCATTAGGCAGATAATCAACATTGGCACCTTTCAGGGCAAGCATTAGGTAGACAATCAACATGTGCACCTTTCATAGGGCACATTAGGGTAGACAATCAACATGTGCACCTTTCTCGTAGGGTGCCATTAGGCAGATGTAATCAACAGCTTGCACCTTTCTATAGGCGGCTATTAGGTAGACATCAACATGTGCACCTTTCAGAGGCGCAATAGAGTAGACAATCAACATTTGCACCTTTCTCAGAGGGTACATTAGGTAGACAATCAACATTTGCATTGTAGGGCAAGCATGGGGTAGATAATCAACATTTGCACCTTTCAGAGGGCAATAATAGGGTAGACAATCAACATTTGCACCTCGTAGGCACATTAGGTATTCAATCAACATAAAAATCTTCATAGTGCACAGTGGCAATCAACATGCACCTTTCAGAGGGTACATTAGGTAGACAATCAACATTTGGGTAATTCTTTCATAGGGCAAGCATTAGGGTAGACAATCAACATGTGCACCTTTTCGTAGGGCACATTAGAGCAGACAATCAACATTTCAGACCTTCAGGGCAAGAATAGGTAGACAATCAACATTTGCACCTTTGAAAGTACATTAGGCAGATGTAAATCACATTTGCACTGCAGGGTACATTAGGCAGACAACATTTGCACCTTCGTAGGGGTACATTAGGTGTGGCTGCACCAACATTTGCACCTTTCGTAGGGTACATTAGAGTGGCACAATCAACATTTGCACCTTTCATAGGGCATAATAGTAGACAATCAACATTTGCACCTTCGTAGGGTACATTAGAGTAGACAATCAACATTTGCACCTTTGTGCGGCATTAGGAGCAGTATAACAACATGTGCACCTTTCATAGGGTACATTAGGGTAGACAATCAACATTTGCACCTTTCGTAGGGTACATTAGGGTAGATAATCAACATTTGCACCTTTCGTAGGGTACATTAGGGTAGACAATCAACATTTGCACCTTTCGTAGGGTACATTAGGGTAGACAATCAACATTTGCACCTTTCATAGGGTACATTAGGGTAGACAAAAAACATTTGCACCTTTCGTAGGGTACATTAGGGTAGACAATCAACATTTGCACCTTTCATAGGGTACATTAGGGTAGACAAAAAACATTTGCACCTTTCATAGGGTACATTAGGGTAGACAATCAACATTTGCACCTTTTGTAGGGTACATTAGGGTAGACAATCAACATTTGCACCTTTCATAGGGTACATTAGAGTAGACAATCAACATTTGCACCTTTCGTAGGGTACATTAGGGTAGACAATCAACATTTGCACCTTTCGTAGGGTACATTAGAGTAGACAATCAACATGTGCACCTTTCATAGGGTACATTAGGGTAGACAATCAACATTTGCACCTTTCGTAGGGTACATTAGGGTAGACAATCAACATTTGCACCTTTCGTAGGGTACATTAGGGTAGATAATCAACATTTGCACCTTTCGTAGGGTACATTAGAGTAGACAATCAACATGTGCACCTTTCATTGGGCACATTAGGGTAGACAATCAACATTTGCACCTTTCGTAGGGTACATTAGGGTAGACAATCAACATTTGCACCTTTCGTAGGGTACATTAGGGTAGATAATCAACATTTGCACCTCAGAGGGTACATTAGGGTAGATAATCAACATGTGCACCTTTCATAGGCACATTAGGGTAGACAATCAACATTTGCACCTTTTCGTAGGGTACATTAGGTAGATAATCAACATTTGCACCTTTTCAGAGGGTACACATTAGGTAGACAATCAACATTTGCACCTTTTCAGAGGGTACACATTAGGTAGACAATCAACATTTGCACCTTTCAGGGGTACATTAGGGTAGACAAAAACATTTTGCACCTTTGTAGGGTACATTAGGGTAGACAATCAACATTTGCACCTTTCGTGAGGGCACATTAGGGTAGACAATCAACATTTCTGTACCTTTCAGAGGGTACATTAGGGTAGACAATCAACATTTGCGCCTTCATAGTACATTAGGTAGACAATCAACATTTGCACCTTCGTGAGGGTACATTAGGTAGACAATCAACATTTGCACCTTTCAGAGGGGCAGTACATTAGGGGTAGACAATCAACATTTGCACCTTTCGTAGGGCACATTAGGTAGACAATCAACATTTGCACCTTTTATTGGGTACATTAGTAGACAATCAACATTTGCACCTTTCGGGAGGGTACATTATTAGGTAGACAATCAACATTTGCACCTTTCGTGAGGGTACATTAGGCAGACAACAACATTTGCACCTTTCGTAGGGTACACATTAGGTAGACAATCAACATTTGCACCTTTCGTAGGGTACATTAGGGCAGACACATTTGCACCTTTATTGGGCACATTAGGTAGACAATCAACATTTGCACCTTTCGTAGGGTACATTAGGGTAGACAATCATTTGCACCTTTCTAGAGGGGTACATTAGGGTAGACAATCAACATTTGCACCTTCGAGGGTACATTAGGCAGACAATCTCCAACATTTGCACCTTTCAGAGGGCATATTAGGCAGACAATCAACATTTGCACCTTCATAGGGTACATTAGGTAGACAATCAACATTTGCACCTTTTCAGAGGGGTACATTAGGTAGACAATCAACATTTGCACCTTCAGAGGGTACATTAGGTAGTATAATCAACATTTGCACCTTTCATAGGGTACATTAGGTAGACAATCAACATTTGCACCTTTCGGGGCAAGTTAGGGTAGAGACAATCAACATTTGCACCTTTCTTATAGGGCACATTAGGTAGACAAATCAACATTTGCACCTCAGGGTAAGCATATTAGGGTAGACAATCAACGTTTGCACCTTTATTGGGTACATTAGGGTAGACAATCAACATTTGTACCTTTCTTATAGGGCATATTAGGTAGACAATCAACATTTGCACCTCAGAGGGGTACATTAGGTAGACAATCAACATTTGCACTTTTATTGGGTACATTAGGTAGACAATCAACATTTGCAC